GCAATTAAATTGCAACACTTTGCATGCGTACGTATTTGCATTCCAATTAATTTTTGGAGCATGCAAAAATTTCAGATTTCAAATTTTATTAATATGCATTTAGAGTGTGCCATGGAAGCGAGAAACAAGAATCGGTTGGGTTGCTATATGCCAGCCTCCGCTCAGTTAGTTTTTGTTGATTATTTACCTTTTTACTTTAATTAACTGTGCGCCATAATGTTGGGAAATGCCAGCTGCACTTAATTAGCATTATAATTGTCCTGGCAACCACAACAAACTTGCGTCCTGCAATTTTCAGCTGCATCTTAATGGGGCTGACTAAACAATAGAAATGTAATGCGCAGCAAGGGTTGCTTTGCTTTGCCCGAGCTGCGATTATATAAGGTATTTTGTAAGTTGAAGGCTAAAAATAAATTGTTGACCATAATAATTGTTGCCAAAGCTTGCAGCTTTCTCCTTTACATGGCACAACCATATTAAATAAATCTTAACAAGAGCTTGTTTCTAGGGTTTTTTGCAAGTTAACAATTTTTAAGCATGACAGCCCAACAGACTTCTAAGCAATGTTTAATCAAAACTAAAAATGAAAATATTGAAATTATTCGAAGGCTAGGAAAAAGCGCATGTTTTTTCTAATGATGGTCTGGATATAAGGTACCTTTTCTAGCTGCAGGGTATCGTTAAGTCGAACATGCATTCAGCACTTGAATTTAACAAATAACTGCGTGCTGTGAAATAAATAATAAACTGCTTTTGTAAACAATGCGGCTGATTGCAGCGTGGCAAAATATTTCTGAGGCATCAAATAAATTATGAAGTTTAACATTTCGACCCGTGGGCAACGGAAAATTATTCATGTGACCTTTTTTGTGGTACGTGTTTTAACGGAAACATGTGTCGAATTTTAAGTATACAATTTGCGTTTGCCTTTGTACACGCATATATGATATACTATAAATATTTTTGAATTGTATTATGTTTTTCGGAGCTAAGCTTTCGTGGGTGGCACGCAAGCGAGCACAACCAAAATTAAAATGAAAGCATAAACCGCCCACTTGACCCCAAAAAGGGGTGCGGGCTGGGTCAGATATAATGGCAGCTAACAAGCACGCTTCAAATAATAAACATCGGAAAATGTTGCACAGTGTTTGGTCAGCATTTCGGTTAGGCAATGGGCTGTGCGGAGGGACGGGTGGGCTTATGGGTGGTGGCAGGGTGTGCGGGTTAGTTGCTATAAAATTACCTGAACAACAACATTTTGGAATGCATGAGAGCCGCTTAATTCATTTGCGCACAAACAACGTGGTTGCTTTTGTCGCTGTTGTTGCAGCTTGTTATTAGAATTGAGCCCTGTTTTGGGCATTGCATTTAAATAATGTAAATATAATTTAACTGTTTGCCAGCGATTTAGTTTCAAAAATATTTTGCTGCATTTTATGTCTCGCCATGTTTGTTCCATTAGGCCATTAGTTTTTTTGGGTTTTTTGGCCTGGTTCAGGTGACAATGCAAATAATTAGAGTCCACAATGTGCGCCATTCAATGGACTAAACAAATACCAGCGCAATTTCTAGTGCGTGTGTGTGTGTGTGTATGCCATTGTTAAATAAATCAGAAAGTAATTAAAACAACATGAAATGCGAGTTACACTCTCTGCGGAAGCAGAGCAGGGCAGAGCAGCAGCAGCCCTGAGCTTCCCCTACTTGGCAATCTACACCCTGGCACACACTGGTTTCCTCTGCTGCTACTTTCCTATTTAGTAAACACAACTGAAAACGCGACCCGCTGGTCGCTACCAGGCCAACAGAAAGTAGAAAACAACAACAGAAACAACGAGCGACAGCGTTGGAAAATTGTGAAACAAGCCAAAGAAAATTTGCGCAACGAGATGCAAAATAAACTTAATTTACGTTTATTTGCGTTGACAAATGTTTTCGAAGGAGTGCAACTTTTAATTGCAAAATTTATTTGATTTGCCAGCATTTCGCTATTGGTTGCCCGTTGCCTCCTTCTGCCCTTGGCGACGTTAAATAAAAGATATCCATTACATAAGTTGGCTAACTTATCTGGTTAACCTTTCTTATCAAGGCTGATTAAAATTTAATATAAGCCATGCAAAAAATGTATCAGCAATACGTTGAGTATATCTTATCTCTCTTGTTTTCAACATATTTAAAAAGCATCTGGCAGGACTAGAATATAGATTCAAATAAAAAATCCGGAATGGGCGCCGAGTATATGTTACTTTATTAACATACAAAAGTCTGTGTTTGGACTTAAAAAATGATAATTAATAAATTATGATATAATTGAATATATATTTAAATATATTTAAAAAAGCTTTTTTTAAATTAAATATTTTTTGAAGATTTTTTATGCAAGATTTTAAACTGAATCCAAGCAAGATGCTTCTTATTTTACACAATTTCAATATTCAAACATTTCCATGATGATTGGCCTAAGCCAATCAAGGGCTTCAATTGTTGGCGCCCAACATGGGCTTGCAATAGTTTTAGGAAAAGCACGAATATTTATTTAATACCATTTAATCTGTTCAAATTTGTGCATATATACATAATGATTTTCAAATATTTGTTCTAACTTAATTGTGCTGCCTTTCGGGTCTATTCTGATTGGCATTGTACATGTTGCAGCCTTCGGTTGCATGTCGCTTTTAATTGCTGCGGCAGCCACACACAATGCACACACACACAGTTTAGTCACATTTTTCTAGTTTTTCAAACATTTTGTTTCAGTTTCTGGCAGTTGCATTGGAATTCATGTTGCGCGCAGTGGCAAATGGTAAATGCCGAGCCTTTGTCTGCCGTTTAGTGTCGCAATTTTTGGCAGCAAATTGCGGTGGGTCAGGTAAAATGGCAAGCGTGTGCGTGGTGCGGGTGTGTGTGTGTATGGGTGTGGCTAAAAGCACGTCATGAAATATGCGCATAAACACATGCATATTGTAACAGTTCGAATTTGCGCGCGTTTGCTTGAAATATTTTTTATTGTTATGATGCAGCAGCTGTTGCGGTTTTTTGCGCCAAGCCAACCGCAACAATGAAGCAGGTAAGAATTTAAGTTGAGTGCAACCGACTGCATGATACACGTTCACAATCTAATCATAGCTTAAGGTGGATAAAATATATTTGGGACGATACTTAGAGAAATTTCTGATCAATTTTTTGTGCTCTCTAACTGTGTTTTAGTAAACCTTATATAAATATTTGTCGCGCTCCCTACATCAATAGACTTGATTACTTCTTTCTTCTTCTTACTTCATTGCACAAAGCCAATATACTCTTTTTCCATTGTAAACGAGTAAACAGAAAAAAAAATTCAAATATTCAGTGGCAATCATGCCACATGCGGCAATTGCTGTCTAATTATTTTCTTTCTTTACCGTTCATTGCACTCACTCACAAGCTTACAAGCGGGCGGCTGGAAGAATGTCAGTAAAATTTCAACGGTGTGAAATTTTGTGCAGTTTTTTCAGTGCCGCCTGTTTCTTAAACGGCTTGAAGTTTTTTCTAATGCTTTGTGACTGCAGTCGGAATTTTCATTAAAGCATTTTTGATGTCTAATTTGCATTTTTCTTCTTCTTTTTTTTTTGTTTGCTGCACAGCTGCTGGAGAAGCCGTCGCCTCTTTAGCAGGCGACTGACACGTTAAGCATTCAGGGGATTGTTTTGGCCAAACGAATACCCGCACGGCACAGCCCGTCGCCTAACACTTTTGTAGCTGCACGTTTTTTTTTTTCAGTTTTTTGTTGTTGTTGCTGTTGAGCTGCAGTTGTCAGTTGTTGTTGCTGTTGTCTCTCAGCTCTCGGCTCAACTCTGATTTGGGCCCAGCTTGCAGGCTTTTTGTGTGCGCCTGGCTCGTTTCTTTGGCTGCTCGCTTGTTGGACAAACTGTCGAGTGGCAACACTAATTCGCATGCAGCACAACAACAAATTCGCTATGCACACACACACACACAAGCACACACAAGCACACACAAGCACACACAGGCACACACATGCACACATTTGCAGCTTTTTGTTGGATTTTCAGCTAAATTTGTGCCAGCGCTTTAGACGCCTGCTTTTTGTTAATTTGCAATTTTCTAACCATATCCATTTGCTGCCGCACTCTGAATATGTGTGTGTGTGTGTGCACAGCTGCTGTTGCTGTTATGTGTGTGGGTGGGTGTGGGTGCGTGGCATAGATGTCCGACGGCTTCACTGGTCAGCATTTCGTTTGCTGGCATTAATTCAATTTCTGTTTGCATATTGCCAGCTTCTGTTACTTCTTCTTTTTTTTTTTTTTATAATTTGCTTTAGCATTTCATGTGTCAGTGCGCCTAAATTCATGGCACACTTCTTGAAATGCGATTTTAGTGCTTTTATATGTGACTGCTTTATATATGACATTCCAACTCCTTACTTTATTCTTATGATGATATTTTATGAATTTCAACATTGAGATTTTTTTTCTTCAGAGTAATTGTATAGAAAATTAAACGTGTTTAGCTTCGTAGCTCAGTTAATTTAAATTATCCACACAATTTTCTGTTTTAATACTTAAAAATGATCTCTTTAAATTTTCGTAAATCTAAATAAATCACTTTAATTTTTTCGGAAAGATACAAATTAAATCAAAAAGTTTTAATTTTAGTTTTTAATAAAACCTCGGTCCTGAAGCAAGTAAAATATTTAAAGCTTTATTTATAAAATAAAACTGAGCTAAAAAAAGTTAATAAAAAACAGTTCAAAATGTAACTCCAAAAACCACTCAAACTTAATCTCGACAGCTGTAAAGTTGTTCACAGAAATCAGGAAAGCAAAAAATTGCAACAGAAAAAAGTTGAAATAACATTTAAATTTCACTGTATACACTTTCCACAATATTCACTTAACTATGCCAGAGAATTTCTTTTAACTACTTTATGAGGTTTTTTGCAAGAACTTTTGTAAAATTATTTCTGATATTCATGAATTTCTTTGCCCGAAACTTTTTTGCACTTACCAATGCCTTGGACACCATGGCGAATGCGTGTTATGGTTTTTGCTTGGTCCAAATTGACAAAACTTCTGAGATATCGCTTATGCTTTTATGTCTTTGAAATGCTGCCACATGTGCTAATAAAAAAATTCCAAATTTTTAAATTTAGCAGTTGTTCGAATTTAGGATTTGACACTTGGCTTTTTTTTGGCCACATACACACGTACACACATGCACACACACGTTGGCGTTGTGCGATCTATATGGAATATTGGAATATATAGAGTTGGGATCGCGCACGAATGATTTAAGCGATATGCTTGGCGTGACGAGAATGAGTGGCCAATTGCCGTGAAACGCGCCATTTATAATGCTGCGCTGACTGACGCGGAGCAGCGCCTCAAAGTAGGCAGCACAGTTTTTATTCATATATAAATAAAAGTGCTGCCGTCTATTGTTAGATATGCCACCTGTTGTCTATATTTGTGAGTGTGTGTGTATGTGTGGGCAGTTGTCACTGGTAACCCGTCACTTTGACAGTGGGAAAAGCCCTTAGCCAAGTGCAAATTTGTTGCTGCCAACACGCAATTATTTAATGCAAGCCGTTCGTTCTTATCTGGCCAGGTCTCTGTGTAAATGGCTGGCTATATTTGTATGTACATTAAAGGAATCTGCATAGTTCTCATAGCAAATCAACTGCAGGCTGATCCATGGAGCAGGCGCAGAAGAAACCATAGTCATTTCATTAGACAACAACACGCAGACACACACACAGACACACAGTGGCAAACCTTATAAGCGTGCTGTATATAGCGCTTGCTGCAGTGTCAGTGGCAGCAGCTTACTGGACAGCAGCCAGTATGCTTATCTAACATACAAACACACACACACACAGATACACAGTGTTGTCTCTATTACGTAGTTTGGGAATATTCCGAAGGCTGATAACATTTGAATTTTGGCTTGATTTATGAGGCATTGCATGAAACACCGTGGCAGGCTTATCATCAGCAGAACAACAGCTATAACAATTTTCATGCTAATACTTCAAATCCGTCCTTCCTCCCCCTGCAATTCTATCACATTTAATTTAAGCATTGGACCACAAACTTATGCGTACGCAGAGTATAGCGAAATTTAATATTAAAATTATGCTGAATTCTGATTTGGGTCAATGCGCACTTAATTTCCATATCAATTATTCCAAATCGAATTTCCTTATTTCAGTGTGTGTGAGATTTAACGATGTTGTGTATACATTCAATGTGTCCAGGAGTTATGATAAGCCCTGGCTTATAATATTTGCAGTGTGTAACAAGTAAAGTAAAGCCTTAAAGAACTCAATTCTCTGAAACGTCGTTTGTTGTATTATATACAAGTGGAATCGGATTTGGACAAAATTCTAGCTGCTGTCTTGGGGCAGGTCAATTGAACTCAATAAATTTATATGATTAATTTATATGCAAATGTGTTAAAAACAAGAATATTCTTTCACAATTAAAAATATTTGGATCTTTAGATGAGTCCTATATCCTGCAATGCCAATGAGTATTTATAAGGCCTAGGTCGAGTTAAAGCGAATTTTCCATAAAGGATATAATAACTTTAGCCATAGCTCGATCATCCTAGCGGACCCTATTCTATTTTTCAATTTGAACGGAACATTGATCACTAATCAGTCATATAGAGATAAATATATATTTGTATATACGTACTCAGCTGTAAATACACACTCATTATTTCATTGTCATCTATCAGTAGGCGGGAGGCGAACCTTTATATAAAAAAATATCACTGAAGGAACAGAACAGCGGAAATGTTTATTAGATTTATGGAGCAGTTAAATTTTCAAAAACTTACCAGTTTTTTCGATCTCCTTCTTCTTTATTCAAGCCACAGTTTCTTTCATAGTTGGGGTGTTCAAGGTGCCACCTTCTCCAATATTAAAGTCATATCCTCTCATATTAAGGCAGGCAAATTTTAGGTTCCTCGCCTTTACGGCTGTATCTGTGTGTTGATCATCAATCAGTCAGTCATTAAAAGAGTTTTATATAGATAGATGATATAAGTAATTATGTGAGCAATTAAATATTGCTTAAGCACTGCAAAAGCAAGACTCGCAATACACGAAGTTTTAAAATTTACCGAAATGCTCTTTTGGCGCAGTAGCGGACGCGCTGAAAAGTATGCTACACAAATGTGTTTTGCCGCAGTTGCTGGCTGGAAATTGTGGCATGCTGCACAGCATGGTATGCGATTGACAATTCATGGTAAAATATTTGTTGCCCGAGAATGTTAAACAGAATTCCATAGTGCAAATAGTTTCGCACCTTTTGAACAGCATTACGTGTAGCTGTCATAGTGCCCAATGCCAAGCCAGATATATCTAAAGGCTGGCAGTTAACAACAATTCGACTCTGGCTCTGAAACTGGAATGTGGTGGGAGGATTGCTGTTGTATGTTTGCTGTTTGGGCAGCTTGCAAATAGCTACTGCATATGAATTGCAGCTCAGCACATCGGGGGCAATGCACAAGCTCATATATAACACGAATTTCTAGTCCGTTGCCTGTTTCAGTTCACATATTTGCTTTGGCTGCCTTTAGTCTTTCCATAGCACTCCGGGCTTACGGCAATCACAACTGCTGTTGCTAATATTGGCCCAGACTCAATTGCAAGCTAATTAACATTTTGACATGCACTTGCAATTGGGACTTAAATGTTGTCCCATTTCGCTCACATACTTTAAGTACTCGAAAAATATATAAATTGTCTATTTACTTATTAAGCCATCTGTGACTATTGTGAGCAGACTTTGGAGCTGTTTCTTTGTTGGCTGCAACTTCCTTGCTTGCTTCCTGCCGCCAACATTTTTAGGTTTTTTTTAGTTGACTTCATTTTTGGTTTGTGGCCTTTGTTGTTGCAAGGCTTACTGCAGCCGGGCAGTAACTTTTTGACTCTTTCGCATCACTCATTTTCATTTTAGACATTGCCCCTCAGTAGTTTTCTTTTTCTGCTATTCTGTTACTGGTATTCTTCTTCCGTCTGGCCTGCAGTTGCCGTCTTAAAGTTCTTCAAATAATTGCCCAACCAGGGAAAAGGGATAACTTTGTGTGCTTTATTCTTTTGTGGTTCCGAATTCTCGGGTTTTCTCATTCTTCTGTCTTTTAGTTTGCTTCCTTCATGTTTTGCGGGTATTTTTGGCATTTTTCTGTGCACATTTCTGTGATTTGGTGGCACAGCAAAAGCATAACGTCTAAATTAAAATTTAAGGGGAATCTAGTTTTTCAGGCAAATTTATATTTAATTTATAATTATATAAGAACATAAATGTAAATAATTAAATGAAGCTTTCAATAAAATTCTAGTCTGGAAAAATAATTGATTTTGTTACCAAAATACCCAAAATATTAAATAAATCTTAATTCTAGTTGCTTAGTTTCCATTTCATAGTTTTTTTTTTTCAATTTATAGAAATCTTTTTTCTTTTCAATTAAAACAAATCAAGGGAACAGTAAATAAAAAAGCTGCAGGATTTGAGCCAGTGACTTCACGCATACTAGTCAACGACCTTATGACTGAGTTGTTTTTTGATGTTGTCTTTCCAACCAACAGAAAACTACTGCAATTTCAGCTGATTGGCCCTTACCTACTCAGTCAAGGCTAACTTGCATAATCTATGTATATAGATTAAATGTAACTCCCAGGTTTGCCTTAGTTTTAGTGTGTTTAGTAATAAATAATAGGGATAAAAATGCTTTGGAATTTTATATATTTGGGGAACCAGATACAGGTACAGCTAATTAGTTGAGCAATAAGTGAGTGTACTCATGAACATACCTAATGTCCAGGCAGCCAAAGTAAGTAAGAAATAATATTAATTAGAGCTATGAGTTATAAAATCCTCTCAGTAGACTTCAAAGCAAAGCCCCTCGGTTTGCCTTTGACAGCAGCAAGAACAACAACAAATATTAAATGCCGCAGCAATTACATGCAACACAGGCCGCAAAGTCAGACTCTACAGTCAGCTGCATGCAGCTCTTCTAATATTACAGCAAAGTAAAAATTTAATTAGCTAGTATTCCATTCGGTGCACTCGCTCAGGCTACAAGGCGAGTGGCTTCAAGTCACTTGCCAGCTGGTCATGTTGTGTGTGCAACAAGGCGAAAGTTTCAATTATTATATGCAACAGCCTGTACTCTTTGGAACTGCCGCCTGCACTTTATGCCAGCTGCCAGCTGCCAGTTGCCATTTGGTAGCTGCCAGTTTGCCAGTTGGCTGTTGGTAGTTAGTCAGGTTAACGTTCTTTCTGCACTTGGCCAATAAAATGTTGAGTACATTTATAATTTGTGGACACTGTTGGCCCGTCGTCAAGTTCATTAAATTTTTCATGGCCATGTACTTTAATTAATTTTCGCAACAGTCGTCGCTGTCTTTGTCGCCGCCACTGTGACTCGTTGGTATGTGCGCTATTTTGATATGATAACTGGATCATAATCAGCGTATAATCTTTATAGACAGAACCGGCAGAATGAACCGGCTAATCGGCAAAAATTGACGCACATGCAATCAAACGCCCACAAAGCATAAAACACACGAAAACTATTGACTATTGCGATTGACATTTACATATAAAGTTATCGTAAAAATGGAATTCATAAGGAATGCAACGTGATAATGGCGAGCACGACGTGGCAGACACCCACGATATTTTACTATATAACTTTTAAGACCTAAAAGGAGGTTGCCTTTTACCATACTAGGCAGTCAATTACCATGCATCAAGCTCTCATCAATATGTTAGTAAATGAGTGATTACATCCTAAATTTGCAGAGCTTAGCTTTGATAGTTGCTGAGTGCGGATTAAAGAGAATGAACAATAAAAAAATATTAATAAAATATCTTTCAAATATGTATACTCTATATGTAGTTATTTTCAATACTCATGAGCGATTGGCGATTTTTTGAACATTCCATATTTGGAGGGTGTAACATGAAACACAACAACGTTTGGCCAACCCCTTGAACAACTAGTTGGCGTGCAGGGTATCGAAAACTGTGTGAAACCGCCAGCAGGAGCCAAATGATTGCCATTGCCAGTGGCTGCTGCTGTTGTAGTTGCTGCTGCTGCTGAGGGTGTTGCTGCTCTTGCTGTTGTTGTTGATGTTGCCGTTGCCCTTCAACAGTATTCAATAAGCTTGTTTATGGCTTAGACAGCAGACACGCAGTGCAACTAATATTGAATACGCGTTTTAATTGAATTTCACGCGCGTTCATAAACTCGACGCGTGCCCCAGCTCTGGTTAGTTTTATGGCTCAGCCAACCAGCAACAATTGCGATTTCTATTTCTAACTCCATTGCTATTTCTGTTTCTATTTCTGTTTCACATGGCTGCACTGGCAAGAGTCGAGCATTCACGTCAAATCAGCCCACAAAACCAAGCCACATCCATCCACATCTAACCACGTTTTCATTCACATCCATTCAGATTGAGAGCGTGTTTAATTGCGCGCACTTCTTGTTATTGCAATCGTAAAATCTTTTGTTATTGCCGCACAACAATTTGTCCGGACCCGGACCCGGACCCGTACGCGACCCACCCATCGACTCGCCCAGTTGCATTCAAGTATATACAAATAATAATAACAACAGTGACATCAGTGCGTATACGTAATGCTTGTTGTAAAAATAATTATCGGAAATTATATTACCGCGAAGTTCATTAGGAATTATTACCAAATACACACGTTTGTTATCTCCTCCATCCCTTGCCCACCAATTGTCTAATTATATTAGGCATTTTTAATTACACGCTGATAGCCATCGGCAACATATCAAAGTGCCTATCAGGAGCCAAGGAAAATAATAAAAGAAATTAATACTGCAATGCGGACATTCGATTGCTAAGGCTGGAAAATTTTTGATTTATACTGCAATAAATTAAATTAGTTTCTGTAGAACTGCAAGTTATCAATATTTAATTAAACTCTTATCTTTAAGAATTTGTGAATCACAATGGATTTTTAAATTTTATTTTTGCTATAAATCATGCTTTGAACGAAGCATATACATACTATAGATTGCCGATAAAGCTAGAACAATTAGTTTATAAAATTTATAATCTTCAAAGGCTTGTGAATCCCAAATCACTGCTAATTATTGTTGCGGATACTAAAATATGTTATCTTACAATCAAAAATCAGGAAAACCATAAAATAAATTATATGATCATTCAATTTTTACTGCTGATAACAACGAAAAAGCTCAATATATATAATATTCTGATTTTAATGGGCATGTTATAAATTTAAGAAGTTTGGCTTATCAAAATTTGTCTAATTTAGTGTCTTGGAAAATTTTGGATGAATAGTCATGGGGAATTCCGTGCTAAGGTTTTGGAAAAGCACAAGTTGTACATATTGAACCTGACATGAATTTATTTGGCTTTAGCTCAGCTTGACGCCATGAGAATCGCAGAGAAGGGCGACTAACATGCGTATGAGTAATACAATAAAACAAGCACAGCACAGGGCTCGCTGCTATTCGGCACTTTTGAATTTACTGTTTATATATGCCATATATTATAACAGATTTATATTTAATCATGCAGTAAATTCCGTAAATTTCTATAAAATCTTATCTTTCAAGAGCTTGTAATTCCCCACATGCCACTGTCCTCTGAAGTGTTTCTACGAGTAGCTAAGGGGAATACTCCTTGCTAAAAATTAATTATCGCTCACAAAGTTGGACATATTATCACCGACTACTAGAAAAAATCGTATGTTACTCACAGCAGTTGTTTTAATTATGGTACTTAAATAGGTATTGATAAAAAATGGTCGCATATGAATGTAAACGGCTTATCAAAGGTAAGGTTCACTTGGAAGTGACCCCATGACAGGCTGACTCATGACTGACATCGACTGTTATTGCAAGCGCTTATGGCCAAAAACAAAACACATTCTGTTGGCCCACTCAGCCACCAATTACACTGCGAGCAGTAGTTAAGGCACGGTCTGACGCTCAGTTGTCGGCCGCTTAGTGCCCTGATGTCTGACAATCCATCAGGAGTTAACTCAACGTAACTCAATGTCGAGCAGGCGTTGGTGCATTTGCCACGACTTCATTTCCGCTGGCAGCTCTTGAAAATGGCTGCCTGGGGCGACCGCTGCGGTTGCTGCCCCACTCGTTATGCAGCTGCAGCTGCATCTGAAACTACAACTGCCAACTGCAGCGCGTTTAGTATGCAGTGCAGTTGGAAGGCGTGGCATTTGCTTTTAAGTAAATAATATTAATCATACGCCCGGTGGTGCCACGAGCTAGCAAACGCTCCGACATGCATCAAACAACGAGGGCGCTGAAATTGGAAAATTGAAAATGCATTGCAAGCGACGGCAGCTGCGGACAAATGGGGTGGCGGGGGATTGAAAAATAATGCTGGCATCGTGCGAAAATGGAAATGAATTACGCTTATTTCAGCAGTCGGAAGGGAGAATGGAAATTTTTATGCGCATTTCTGTCGCTCTTTATGAGCGACGCATTATGTCAAGTGCCTCGTTGTCTATCTTAGCTTATTGTTTAATTTCCCCGAATTTGATTTTGCAATTAGCTGGGGTTAGCGTTCGCCTTGCTGGTTCCAATGAAATCGTCCGCAAATCGTCGGGAATTGCAGAGTCTATTGTTATTCGAACATATATTTTCTACCTATCCAGACAGTTCTGACACTTCTGTATAGATAAGATGTTCGGTTTTACGAATCGAAACGGAAACATTTTGAGTGCTTAGTCAGCCACTCGAGAGGGTTCACCCACGGTGTTTCAGTTATTCGTTGCGCAATGCTTAATGCCTGATAAATGTATCGAGTGGCTTAGTTCGATAACAAAAACAAGGCATTCAAAGATAAAATGGCATTTAAATTAAATCAATTGAAATTGATGGAAAGTCCAACGATCTGGCCAACTAATGCGCTGCACTTCGCTGGTGGATACACTTTTTAAATTATTCTAACTTATAAAATGCGTTTGCTCTCAAAAAATAAAAGGGATAATTTTAAATATAGCTCTGAAAGCACATGAAAGCTTGCATAAAAATTAAGTTCGTTTACTCTTAGACAATAGGACGGGATAGCTTTAAAAGCAGCTCATTAAAGCTTTCAAAGGTCAGCTGGTTAGTCAAGCTTTTCAACCTTAAGTGCATTAAATTGAACATGTTAAATTAGTTAACTTTTAAAGTCTGAACAAAATTAAAAAATTGGGTGGATGACTATGAAATAAGCTTTGAAAGCACATAAAAGCTATACTTCAAAATGAGCTTTGGTGAAGTTAAATTTTAACTTAATTGTAACCAAAGCTTAAATGCGCTTTGAATGCTTATGTTCACATATTTAAATTGTTAACTAACATATCGTAGTTGTATTAAAAGCTAAAAATAACCGATATATTCTTATCTTCAATTATGCTGAAGTTTTTCTGTAGGGGTTTTATTTTGATATCAGTTTCATTTAGTTTAAATATAATTAATCAATACATATGAGGCCTAAAAATATAAGCTACCATTGGTGTAGGGTAATTTTATATTTATATCATATCAGCTTGTCAAAACTTAAAGGCCAAAGCCTTTGGCATATTTCATTCGCTTTTGACATTCAACACATTTGCCGCCTATAAAAACGTGGGTGCCTTTAGTTGCCACCAAAGTCTGCAGAGAACGACAACGCCGTAAACGTGTAGCACATCCAAAAAAAAAACCTAATAAGAGTACAAAATAAAATTGTAAAATGTTTTCGCTTACTTTGCTTGCCTGTTTGGCTATCGCAGCCTGTGCCACGCCCAGTCAAAGATTGGGTGAATCGAAGCTTTTGCAGGCCATTCGCAGCACCAGCGAGCTGCAGCAGGACAATCCGACACGTTCCCTGGAATGCTTCCAGTATTACAGCGAAATCTTCGATCAGCTGCTACAGCAATACGAGCAGGAATTCCAGGCCTGCCAGAATACATCTCAGCTCCAGATCTCGCTGGCGGATGAAAGCTTTAAGCCTGTCCTAAGCTCTTTGAACAACAGCGCGGCGAACGCCTGCGAATTAATAGATAATTGTAATAATCAATTGGATAGCTTGACAAGTTTGGCCTGCTACTCAGGGGTGGTGAGTAGACAAAAATTGTTTATAATTAAGTTTGTAATTAACTTTATGTTTGTATTTATATTTGATTAATAGGGCACCAGCGATGCCAAAATCATGTACAACATTTCGAACACAGCCAGCCAATATTACGGCCAGCTGCATCAGCGCATTCAAATGATTCAGTTCACGGAAGAACAGTGCACGAGTGAATCGAAGCGCAGCTATGAGCTTAGCACGGATCAGGCTTATGTCAATCTACAAGGCTGTCTGATGGGCAATGAACCAGTGCCGGTAAAAACCACATCAGTTCCAGTGACAACCACACCAGAACCAGTTCCAGAACCGACTTTTTCGGTTCCAGTTACAAATACCTCAGCTCCAGTTAAGACAACGTCAGTTCCACTGATGACCACATCTGTTCCAGCTGTAAATACAACTACTCCAGAACCAGTTCCAGAAACGACTACATCAGTTCCAGTAACGACCACATCAGTTCCAGTTAAAACTACACCAGAACCAGGTACAACTTCCTCAGTTCCAATTAAAACAACTCGATTCCCACGAAGGACCACAAAAGCTCCAGGTAAAAGACCAAAGACTACATCTGCTCCTGTTATGTTTACGTCGGCTTTAACTACGGCTACGCCCACGACTTCTGACGCACCTGGTTACCAACCGAGCCTGAGCGCTGAGCTGAAAAAGCTGCTGCATTCTCTGCTACACTAGACAACATGGTTTATGTCGCAGCGCAGAACTGCATTAAAATAGGTAACAAACTGACAAACATTGGCTATCATTCGGGTCTGAAAGGGGGCCGCAAACTTTTGTAATCTCGGTTGGGCGGGGGATCCCCACAGAAAAGAAACAGTAAAAGGGAAAGTAAAGAAAAAGCAATTTTATGGAAATGTTGGCCAAATATTGACATAGCCCAAGCCCAGCCGACAACTTCAATGGTAAACTTAACTAAACCAATTGCAACTCTGCAAGTGTAACTTACATAATTAACGCTTGTCGATGTAAACTAGTTTCTATACCGATGACTGACAGACTAGCAGATGCCCTGTACACAGTCTTAGTGTAGAATAAATTTATTTTAAAATAACTAAATAAATGTTATATTAAAGTATTGTAAGAAAATTGCTGTGAAATAAAATTTAAGTTATAAGAATACCAAAAAACGTAACACAACAAAAAGATTTTCTGATAAAATATTGATTGATTAAGAATATATGCAGACAAATAAGAATATGGAACCCGCTAACACATGTAATAATTGGTATATATTTTCTTATTTATATTCGAATGCTGTTGATTTTGGGTTTAAGTATTGTCTGTAAATATTTTAATTGCCTGCATATGGGGTTCATAGTTGAATATGCCACGCTTTTAGCCAATCTGAGAGTATAGGGCATTAAATATATGCTAAGATGTTGCATATCCTTTGACAAAGTTTTCGCACTTGCCGCTGCCTTTGAAAGTTTAGCACAGTTTCGAGCTAGGATCAGCTTTGGTCCGGACTAAATAAATGAAATTCCAATTGGCTGGCTTTAAGTCCGAGCATTTAACAGTAAAATAAACAGTTGCTGTCTTTTGGGCCAGCGGTGTTTTTCATTTAAATTTAATTGAGTTTGCGTTTGCTTTGGCTTTGGCTGTTGATTGTTGTTGCCTGCGGCATTGTTGTCATTGCAATTAAAACAAATTAGAAATGTAGGCACAGACACACCTGCCCACACGCGCACACAAACATTAACCCTAAAAATCAGGCAATAGCTGTCGCCAGGGCCGCGTGTCCTTGCCACAGGATGCAGCCAGCAGCTGATTTAAAGCGTTGCCTAGTTGCAACTTTCTGGGTGTGTGTGGGGGTGTGCGTGCGTGTGTGTGTGTGAAATGTTAATGCAGTTCGAGTTCTGTTTGCCTGGCTCGTTGAAAATGGTTGCGCACAAAGAACGCAATTAAGATATGCAAATTAGCAGCTGCCACGCCCCTCGCTTTGTGCGCAGCAGCAGCAATAACAGCAGCAGCCTCTGCAGGTGAGAAGATTTGGCAGCACTTGCGATAAATATGCTCATGCAAACAAAATCTTGAAGACAAATAAAATAATTAAAAGAGCATTCTAAAACTTGCAATTTTCTTTTCGGTATAGAAAAGCTTTGCATCCTACGAGAGCTGCTTCTCCCAGTGAGTTCTAAGTCGTATAACTGATCAAAAATGATTTGAAGAGTCTCAAAACAATACAGCAAAAAATATCTAAGTGGGAAACATCCAAATCTTTGGCAATGACAAAAAATCTAGAACGTTGCGTTGCTATATGCGAACTTTAAACAGAGTTTGAATTTAGCCTTCAACTTGAGTATAAAAATATGAACGACTGCGCTGTAAAGAAAATTTCAACAGTATTCACAATTCTTGATAAGATTGGCGGAACAATTTTGTGCAAGGGTATTTAGTAGCAGAGAGCCAACAATTACTTCAACAATATTCTTTCTATATACATGATTGATTTGAACCTGTGACCTGCTGCATGGCAGCCACAAAGTGATTGAAGTGGTTTATACGATTACGAGTAAGCCATTAAGTGGTTATCAAAACTGGCATAAACTAACCTCACCTAATTTGTATGCTGTCTGAAAAGCGATTGTATATTGTGTACAAAACCCTTCAGGGTACTTAAAAATAAAGTCAAAACTGCACACTTATCTTATACCCAGAAATAAATGCCATGCACATCAAGGAAATATAAAAATAAAAATAGTTAACTCATACGCATTTGCAATTTATATTGACCTTGTTGAAAACCAATTAAGTTATATGAATCACAAGCGCGATGACTATCGATTTATAACTTATTCTGAATTATTTTTTGTTATTATTGTTTTGCCACTGCACGTGGCATGATAAGCGACTGAAGACGACACGCACCGAGATTAGATTCGTGTAGGGTTTAATGGGTTAAGTACAACGAGCAACGACCAACTAGCATGATAATGTTGAGCATAAGTTAAAAAATAAATAAAATAAAACAAACAGATATTCAAGTATTTGGCTAGACATTTTTGTGGACATGTAATGGGAATATCAACCAGAAATTTTTAGCATAATAATAAATATTTGTATTAACCAATAGTGTATTAACCAATGTTGGCCAAATATTGACATAGCCCAAGCCCAGCCGACAACTTCAATGGTAAACTTAACTAAACCAATTGCAACTCTGCAAGTGTAACTTACATAATTAACGCTTGTCGATGTAAACTAGTTTCTATACCGATGACTGACAGACTAGCAGATGCCCTGTACACAGTCTTAGTGTAGAATAAATTTATTTTAAAATAACTAAATAAATGTTATATTAAAGTATTGTAAGAAAATTGCTGTGAAATAAAATTAAAGTTATAAGAATACCAAAAAACGTAACACAACAAATAGATTTTCTGATAAAATATTGATTGATTAAGAATATATGCAGACAAATAAGAATATGGAACCCGCTAACACATGTAATAATTGGTATATATCTTCTTATTTATATTCGAATGCTGTTGATTTTGGTTTTAAGTATTGTCTGTAAATATTTTAATTGCCTGCATATGGGGTTCATAGTTGAATATGCCACGCTTTTAGCCAATCTGAGAGTATAGGGCATTAAATATATGCTAAGATGTTGCATATCCTTTGACAAAGTTTTCGCACTTGCCGCTGCCTTTGAAAGTTTAGCACAGTTTCGAGCTAGGATCAGCTTTGGTCCGGACTAAATAAATGAAATTCCAATTGGCTGGCTTTAAGTCCGAGCATTTAACAGTAAAATAAACAGTTGCTGTCTTTTGGGCCAGCGGTGTTTTTCATTTAAATTTAATTGAGTTTGCGTTTGCTTTGGCTTTGGCTGTTGATTGTTGTTGCCTGCGGCATTGTTGTCATTGCAATTAAAACAAATTAGAAATGTAGGCACAGACACACCTGCCCACACGCGCACACAAACATTAACCCTAAAAATCAGGCAATAGCTGTCGCCAGGGCCGCGTGTCCTTGCCACAGGATGCAGCCAGCAGCTGATTTAAAGCGTTGCCTAGTTGCAACTTTCTGGGTGTGTGTGGGGGTGTGCGTGCGTGTGTGTGTGTGAAATGTTAATGCAGTTCGAGTTCTGTTTGCCTGGCTCGTTGAAAATGGTTGCGCACAAAGAACGCAATTAAGATATGCAAATTAGCAGCTGCCACGCCCCTCGCTTTGTGCGCAGCAGCAGCAATAACAGCAGCAGCCTCTGCAGGTGAGAAGATTTGGCAGCACTTGCGATAAATATGCTCATGCAAACAAAATCTTGAAGACAAATAAAATAATTAAAAGAGCATTCTAAAACTTGCAATTTTCTTTTCGGTATAGAAAAGCTTTGCATCCTACGAGAGCTGCTTCTCCCAGTGAGTTCTAAGTCGTATAACTGATCAAAAATGATTTGAAGAGTCTCAAAACAATACAGCAAAAAATATCTAAGTGGGAAACAGCCAAATCTTTGGCAATGACAAAAAATCTAGAACGTTGCGTTGCTATATGCGAACTTTAAACAGAGTTTGAATTTAGCCTTCAACTTGAGTATAAAAATATGAACGACTGCGCTGTAAAGAAAATTTCAACAGTATTCACAATTCTTGATAAGATTGGCGGAACAATTTTGTGCAAGGGTATTTAGTAGCAGAGAGCCAACAATTACTTCAACAATATTCTTTCTATATACATGATTGATTTGAACCTGTGACCTGCTGCATGGCAGCCACAAAGTGATTGAAGTGGTTTATACGATTACGAGTAAGCCATTAAGTGGTTATCAAAACTGGCATAAACTAACCTCACCTAATTTGTATGCTGTCTGAAAAGCGATTGTATATTGTGTACAAAACCCTTCAGGGCACTTAAAAATAAAGTCAAAACTGCACACTTATCTTATACCCAGAAATAAATGCCATGCACATCAAGGAAATATAAAAATAAAAATAGTTAACTCATACGCATTTGCAATTTATATTGACCTTGTTGAAAACCAATTAAGTTATATGAATCACAAGCGCGATGACTATCGATTTATAACTTATTCTGAATTATTTTTTGTTATTATTGTTTTGCCACTGCACGTGGCATGATAAGCGACTGAAGACGACACGCACCGAGATTAGATTCGTGTAGGGTTTAATGGGTTAAGTACAACGAGCAACGACCAACTAACATGATAATGTTGAGCATAAGTTAAAAAATAAATAAAATAAAACAAACAGATATTCAAGTATTTGGCTAGACATTTTTGTGGACATGTAATGGGAATATCAACCAGAAATTTTTAGCATAATAATAAATATTTGTATTTAACCAATAGTGAGCTTATCTCGGAGTGTGGTTGGCTGACCTGCTGATAAGGAAACTGACCAATGGCAGACTGCAGCAGATATGGAATCAAGTAAAGCCATTATTAAGTGGGTAACTAAAAGTTTTTTAATTGCTATTTATTTCTTAAATAAAAAATTAATAATACAAATATGTGTATTGAATAAACACTTGATAGATTGATTTATGATAAATGCTTAAAATAGCAAAGCAAATAGCAATCTATCAAAGGCGAGACGGCACTAGATATAGTACTATATATGGAAGCGGTTCAGGATGTGGCACTTGCCAGACCTGAGATTATACTGAAATCTCATGGTCTAGCAGACCCAGATATGATAGTATTTTCTAAGAAGCTCTAAGATTTGTACAAACTGTTCGGGTTTGTATAAATATTTATTTATTTGCAGTGGCATGTTCTCTAGGGGTTTATAAAGATTCCCAAGATTGCTGTGACGCGATCGGGGAGTAGTCGGCAACTGTTTAATTGTTTCATTGGAAATGTTTTTCACCGAGCCACCCAAATGATAAGAATGATAATGCCAGCCGCCAGCATTGATAAGGTGATAGCTCAAGTGATAGAGCCAAATCTAAAGTAATAACACGGCCATAATATGACAGGTACATATATACAATACGTGTAGTACACCATCCGATTTAATGTACAGCAACACTTGAGCGGCGGGCCTATAAATATTGAAGTCGCCTTCCCATTACCACAATAACGAGTCCGACGTTCGCAGTAAACGAATCAAAAACGGTGTTAAGCAAAAAAAAAAAAAAACTAAGTGTTAAAAATTCATAAAATGTATGTCAAAGTGTGTGTATTGCTTTTGGCCATTGGCCTGAGCCAGGCGCTGCCCAATTCTCTGTTGCCCGATGTTGGCCTAATGCAGTTTATGATGAAATCCCGCGATCTTAGCCAAGATAATCCCGCACGCTCGCTGTCCTGCTTCGACACCTATCTGCCCTTACTGAACGACATATCCCAGGATTTCCAGAAAGCTTACGCTCAGTGCCTGGCGACGGCTGACGCATCTCGCTTGGGCATCGATGACAACACCAAGGATGATCGCGACAAGATCGATTCTGAAGCGACCTCTGCCTGCGATGCTCTTACGACGTGCAGTCAAAGCACAGCAGCCATTGACTACTTTGAGTGCTACTCGCAAACTGTAAGTTGAATGCACTCTACAGCTCAAATGGATTACTTTACTTGGACCATTTCAATTTACAGGGCAGCGAGAATACCAAGGTCATGTACACGATCTCGGCCAACTCGGCTGAGCTGTTGGCTCAAGTGCGCGAGGAGTACCGTCTAATTGATATTGTCCAGTATGAATGCACCAACAAATCGGAGCGCGCCTATGTTGAGAATACGGCGGCCACCTATGAAAACTTGGATAGGTGTCTGGCGGGTCTTGAGCCATTGACAACAACATCAGCTCCCACTACTGCTCCCACAGTTGCTCCCACAACTGCTCCCACAGAAGCTCCAGCTGAATCGACTCCAGGACCAACCACAGCTGCTCCAGCTGAATCAACTCCAGGACCAACCACAGCTGCTCCAGCTGAATCGACTCCAGGACCAACCACAGCTGCTCCAGCTGAATCCACTCCAGGACCAACCACAGCTGCTCCAGCTGAATCGACTCCAGGACCAACCACAGCTGCTCCAGTTGAATCGACTCCAGGACTAACCACAGCTGCCGATTTACCCGAGGAGGATTTGTCCAAACTGTCCGAGCAACAGAACAAGCTGAAGCAGATGATGGATGAAATGAAGAAATGGTTCAACCGCCATTAAGCCTGCATTTAGAATAGGTCAAGTGCGCAACAGTATAAATATCAGTAATTAACAACTTAAATACATATTTTATTTATAAAGACAACTTGACTTTTTCTATGGCCAAATCATCCTAACTATAAAGCTCACAAATTCCGCCTTTAATTGTTCAATATTTTATATGGCTTCAATAAAGTTAAACAACAATTTAAACGGAAAAATATATATGATATATTTATTGTAGATAATTATTTGATATGAATTTAAATCATTTCCTACAATTAAATCTGAAACCCAACCTGGAATAATTTTAATTTTTAGTGTAGTGTGGAAAAATTAAATTAATTTTTTTTGTTTATTATCCGATTGGCCTCAAACTCATTTTCAAAGCTCTTTGCTAAAATTCACACGTCTCGAATAATTGGAAATTTGGGTCAAAAATTACGAAGAATATTTATGAAAATTTGTTTCAGACTGTGCCAATTTTTTCTCAGATCTAAGCTTACTAGCAGTGAAAATTTTTATGATTCTTTATTCGCAGGATTTTAAACTCGTTTTTTTTTTTTTTTTGAACATTTTATTAAATATTTTATTACCGTATTTAAATATTCACACTTTAAATAAGACCGGCTATGGCATAAGTTCTACGAGTGCTGTGTGTTCTTCACGAATATGTGTATATAGCAAATTTCCAGGCTGTGGCTTTTACTTTTTTTATTGCGGGGAGAATGGAGAGAAAATCTTAAACTCTGTATAGCATACAAGAGTGTACATTAAAAATTCGGTTTAGTTAGCTTTTTGAGTTTGAGTTTTTAAGTTATGCCTAATAATCCAAGTTTCGCGTATGGCATATATATATGGAATTACAAGTATCCAGCTCTGTTTCTGAGATGCACGCGTTTATACCGGAAGAAGAGCGGACAGGCAGACATATCTAAATTGACTAAGCTCCTTGCCCCGATCAGGAATATAAATATGCTGTATGGGGTCGGAGATGCGTTCATCTGCATTAAGCATATTTTTGCTTAGACTATTAAACTCGTTTATACCTATTTCAAATGGGCACAGGGTATAATCATTTTATTAAATTTCATTATGACTGTTGATTTATGCCAAATACAGTTTCATTTCCATTCGTTATCACATTCATTAATATATATACTTAGCTGAATTTTACCTAAAGCAACCTAAAATGCCTTGATAGCCAGCGTTTTGTGAATTGCTCACACTTAACATAAATAGCGACTACAGTGTTAACTCGACAGCTGAAACAGTTGCGCACTTGCCAATAATTCGGAGTAAGCCTTATCTGATGCCTTCTGGTTAAAACGTGTTTGGCCCTGAGATAATAACGACAACGCGTCGTGGATTGGTGATATGCACGTTTTTTTTTTCCTTTTGCTATTTTTAATAATTTTCAATTGATGAGTTAGAAACTTATTCAAGAACCAAGTAATCACCATATTGTGCTGCGGCATTTTGATTAGTTTTTAATCAAAAATCTTTACCTAATTTATTTCAGATAGCCACAATTGTCTATTCGGTGAGTATAAAAGTATAGTGTGCACGCTTTTGCGATCAGTTCAGCAAATTTGTTACTTCCCGACGAGGATCTCATACTGTGAAACAGTGCACAGAAATCAAAGCGAAAAGAGAAAACTATGAAGTACACAATTGGAGTGTGCCTACTTTTGGCCGCCGCCTGCAATACTGCTTTCCTTGACAAGCATGTTAACTTTCAACCATTTGTGGAGCTGCAGCATAAGGCCATGCGTTCATTGATCTCGGCCCATGCCAGCAACGATGATCCCAACTTGATCAACAACTGCTTCAACCAGTATATCACGGACCAGATGAATGTTTTGGACAACTACAATAGAATCTACACGGGTTGCGTGACCACAGCCCAAAGGGAGAAGACAGAATTGACCGCCCAGAGCGCAGAGAGTCGCAAGGACCTTCTGTCCCGCAGCGATGGAATGTGCACCAACCTCGGCTCCTGCGATTTGTTGACAGATGGTCTGGAATTCTTCGATTGCTACCGTAATGCGGTAAGTATTTAAGCAAGTAGCATATATGTTTATATCGGAGTTTAAATTTCTTTTTTATAATTCGAATTTTTGACCAAACGAGTCTTCGAAAGAATGGAACCAAATAAGAGCTTTGACGTCAATTAACTCAGTTCTCAAATCATATTTGACAAATTTCATTATTAAATGTAGCCCACATATTGTTTATGAAAATCTGTACGGCTTGTAATATTTTCAGTAGAACAGTTAAGGTTATTAAGGTTTGAACCAACATCTTATATGATGATATGGTTCCATTGAGATTAAAATTACTAAGACCAGAAAAATTGTTAAAATTCATATGGAAAAATAAGAGTACTTTAAAATGAAATATTCTGAGTTTTAGATATTAATCCAATATTTGAAATCGACATGGCTTAAAAGGCTAGCAACTGTCTAGGTGCTCAAAAAAAATTATTTATATTGTATGCGGATTTCGTAATGTGATGATTATCTTAACAGAAATGTTCCATTATTACCAATTTAAAATTATATTATTTTTCAGTCCGCTGACAGCTACAAAGTGATGTTCACTTTGAACAGTGATGCGAACACCAGGTTCAATACGATTAGCACCAAATACGGTATCATCGATTCAGATCTAACGCAATGCGTAGATGAGGCCCGTCTGGAGTATGCGCGCGAGCTGGAGAAATGCGATTCGGATTTCAATATCTGTATTTCGGGTACCGAAGGTACATCTGAACCAACAACTGATAAGCCAGTTGACTCTACACCAGTTGGGTCGACAACAGATATACCCATTGATACTAGCGAGGGACCAGTTGTCTCTACTGATGCACCAACCGTCTCTACCGATGAACCACCCGTCTCTACTGATGCACCAGCCGTCTCTACCGATGCACCAGCCGTCTCTACTGATGTACCAACCGTCTCTACCGATGCACCACCCGTCTCTACTGATGCACCAGCCGTCTCTACCGATGCACCAGCCGTCTCTACTGATGCACCAACCGTCTCTACCGATGCACCACCCGTCTCTACTGATGCACCAGCCGTCTCTACTGATGCACCACCCGTCTCTACTGATGCACCAGCCGTCTCTACCGATGCACCAGCCGTGTCTACTGATGCACCTATTGTCTCTACACAGGAACCTACAGAATCAACCATACCGCCTGTGACCACAACAGAAAGGATGCCAGAGGAAGATATTAAATTGCTGCCACAGACATTCAGGAGCGCTTTGGACAAGCTGAAGCGTTTTTTCTAAATTTGCGATGTATTGTAGTTTGAATGAGCTTTATTAATCAAGCGGAAGGCATGCATAAATAAACTTTATCAATTGATAATTTATTAATAATTTAAAGTCATTAATATACTTGAATAGTTGCATACTTATAGGGTGCCAAAGAAATTATATTCATTCATTGAGCTTATCAATTGAATTTTGATTAGAAGAAAATAAGTCTATACGCACGTGTATATATACTTATATATATGTATAAATAAGTATTAATGGCATGATAAGGTCGCAAGATAAACTTACACAGACCTTATATGAGGTTGCCATAAAAAGTTGCCTTGAAATCGATTTATTTCACTGTAACAACGGATCAGCTCTCATAACACACGACACATACCAGATAATGTCCACCTATCAATTGATATGCCAATCTAACTCTTTATATGACTGCTGCCGTCGAACATTTACACTTGATTGCGAGAAATTAGTAGGAAATTTTCAATTAGATACCTTCAATAACACACTCGACTGTTGGCCGACCGCTTGAGGCGCCATTCAAAATCTATAGCCAAATGTGTGCGGTACGAGTCGAGAACCAGTTGGGTTGCGAGACCAGACGTCGCCGGTGGCAGCTTTCCGGGCAGATGGTGCTGCTGCTGCAGCTGCTACTGGCCATTTGCCTGCATGGGGCATGCGGCACGAGTGCGGACAAGACTCTGGGCATAGGCACACCCTGGCCAGACACCACACTCGATGACTGTCACGATGACTACATGCTGGCTAGTGAAAATGCCTCGAGCATCTTTTCCAAACAGTACGAGCTGTGCGAACTGGAGGCCACCAACGGGCAGATCGATCTGACCATCAATGAGCAGCTGGAACGCGAACAAATCGAGCTGGGTCGTACCGAGCTGTGTAGAAGTTTCGAGCAGTGTGATTCACATGACGACGATCTCGAGTACTTTGAGTGTGTCAGAAATAATGTAAGTGCAATACTCTAACAAACAGTGGCAGTAGACAGTATGAGATTAAATTTGAAGAGCAGTAGGTTCAACATTTATGAAAATAATCTGTACTATGGCATCAAACAATTATGGCCTATGAAAAGAGCTTTAAAAAAACAAGTAAGCTTTGAATGAACTTGTTCTTATTGGCGTCATTAAATGTATTTTATCATAAGCGTAAAGCTTTCCATTTAAGCTTACATTTTGAATATGGAATATCATTTAAAAGTTCGTAACAGCTTTAATAGAGCTTGAATTTAGTGTCACAACAAAACGGTTTTTACTGAAAGCTTACATCTTCGCTTTCAACTTCATATTTTAAATACTAAACTATTCTTTGAGACCAAGAAGCGCCACAAGGAACCCTAAATTAATTATTTGATTTTTATATATTTGTGCTTGACCAGAGCACAACTTTTAAGTCATTTAATAGTTGTTCTTTTTGGCACATAGAAATATGTGCATATTGTGATCCTAAATATAATAAAATTGAAAAAAATGCAGCTTTAATGGTTAAAAAGCAAACAACTTTGATTATACTCTGCGTTTCCTTACCAGCGACAAGTTTAATCAAAAGGTCAAGCTTGACTTTCAGCTAGCGTCATTACAAGCATAACTTAACCATTTCCAATGCTTTTACAGGGCAGCCGCAATCTGGACTTGATGACAGACATTAATTACAATAGCACAAGCGCACATACACGCCTGCGCCAGGACTACGATACAGTTTATCAGACGCTGATGTTGTGCACGCTCGACGCAAAGGTGATGTATATAAACAGCATGCGTCGGGCGTACGAGGAGCTACATGAATGTCGCAGCGAAGCCGACAAAAATGCGGACTAAACAATATAAACAAGCATTAGGCAGACTTTAGATATTTAGTAAAGCATTTGAAAGACTTTAATCTGTGGTTTTAGCCGAATTCGCCGCCAGCTGCAGGCATTTGTCGAGTGCATCGAATATGCGCGCTGTGCCCAGGACATAGCTCTCCTCGGTGCGATTCGTGCAGAGATAGCGATTCACATCGATGCCATTCAGCTGCTGTGTGAGACTGAGCGCATTTTCCGAGGCATTGAACGATATGGCATACATCGTGGCCAACTGCTGCTTCGACTGGCAAATGATGCGTTAACTTGATGATAATTATTTATATGTAAGATTTGGCCATTTGTCGACCTACCAACTTGGCGAAACAATTGAAATAGTCCAGGACATTCGTTATTCTCAGGCAGCTGTCTATGTAGCTGTCTATGCGCAATGCCGCCTCCCGCATCAGATTTTGCTCGCCACCCAGCTTGCTCAGCACAGTGTCACGCACTGTGTCCGCTTGCCGCTGGCAGCCACTGTACGCCGTTGACCAGTTGGCGCCCACTTGCTCCAGCTGCGGCAGATAGCTGGCAAAACACTTTTTCGTATTGCCCACTCCAGCCAGATCGTGGCTCTCCAAATAGACTGTCAGGCTGTTCAGGCTGCGCGGTTCTTGCGCGTGCTGCAAAGTCTTTTCTAAAGTCAATTTTCCAATCCCTTACATTTTTAGCTATTTTTTTTTACCAGTAACTGCGACAGCAGCAAAGTTATGAATACGATTTTCATGTCTGTTTTGGTTAGTGGGCAACGTAGTACTGCAAAATGCTGTTAAGGTTCAAGGCATAGGGCTTATTGGTTAATATGACATTGATTCATGGTTTGTTTGTTTACGTTTAGTCGCTGGGCTTGCTCTTATCGCTACATTTGCAAAAAAAAAGAACCAGCTCAGTGCTGCTTAAACTGTAATAACTGAAATTGTGAGGCATACTTTTCTATGCGCCTGTAGCTGCTTGAATAATATGATAAAATACAAACACATTAAATTCGAGGAAAATTTAATAAAAAAGAAGATGTTCAAAAAGAAAAAAATGTCAAATTAATTGCTTTTTTGGGTACATATATTTTAAATATAAGCAACCAACAAAAATGCCTTTTATCGTATATAAAATGTTTATTAAATTGATAATATCGAAGCGGTTTAAATGAACTATGAACTCTAACATGCCCGCTTTACTTGTTTAGTTTCATGACGCTTGCAAATTTTTAATAACTTAAAGCTTTGCTAAGGGGAAACCTAGAAGGAATAAAAAAGTCTTCCTATTATCCATTTAAATATTCCTAGGTTTTTAAAATATATTAATAATAATTAGTTTCTTTGTCGAAAGACTTTGACTCAATTAATTTATAAAATGTAAAGTTCAAATATTTTTAAGAGATCCGATTTTTATAATTGATCTTGCAGGAATTTGCAATAAAGTTGGATTGCTTGGATAATTCTCATAACTTATTATGTTTATTTTTATCATTATACATTTATGACACATTTTCCATGTATTATAATAAATGAAATTATATTAATATAAATATATATTGAATAAATTTGCATCTTGATGTATTTTATTCTATTGATTTATTCTTATTATGGAAAATTATACGTATTTTTGTTTGTCTAGTCCAATCATATGCAAAAGTGCAATGACTTTCCCTACATTCAAAACTTTTATATATATTAACCATTAAATATCAAACACCCTAGCTGAGTACGTCCCAGCAGGATTAAGACTGGGCAATTATCGAGAATGTATTGTGGAGTTTTCTTGATATTAATGTATACGTTAATTATCGGTGCACGAATATTCATATTCAATATCCAATTTTGACTACAGTTGCTGACGTGTAACGTCACATTTTTGGCATAGTTTCGATTATTTATGATTGCGATAACACACAAAATGCCTAAGCCGATAAGCCGAACAATCGAGTTGTAGACAAATTGGCGCATATATTGGCTTAATATTTCATTAGCCAGGCTAACCATACAGCCATACAGCCCTACAGCTCGGCTGTAATAAGGCCGAACCTGTGCGAGGGAGCTATCAGTCGAGCGAGTGGGGGCGGGTATCTATTTTTGGTGTACAGGGTCATAGCTTTATGTGGGCGTTACGTGGGCATCACAAATGCACATGCAAAGCAATTTGAGGGCTCTGGCATAAGTCGTTTTGCGTTGCCGTTTGGGTCGACTTAATGCCACCTAATTGATCGGCGGCCGTAACGGGCTTCACACCTTTCACCTGATGAGGCAGCTATTTTGGTTGCTAGACGCAATTTGACAACAAATTCACTTGCGAATGCATCAATCATTCCCGAACGACCGAACACGCTTCGGACTGTATATAAAGCATTAGCGCCAACTGTGGGCCATGTCCAGTACTTGACGAACCAGAGAGAGCCTCAACATGAAACTACTGTGCAGTGTGCTAATCCTGGCCAGCGTGGCCCTCCACATCCAAGTAATTGAGCTGGGCCACTGGGCCAAATAATATAATCAGTTAAAGCAGCATTTGTTTTGTTTTAACAAACCGTAGGCCAAGCCGAGTTCAGTGCAAACGCAGCTGCAGGGCGCCCTGGATAAATATCTGGTGCAAGCGAACAACTTGGATATGGTCTCCGCAGACGTGACCTCTCAGTGCTTTTCCCTGTATCTGCCCATGCTGAATGAGGTGGCTGCCACGTTCTCCAGCTCGTATCAGGCCTGCATTAGCACGTTCAACGAGCAGCTGGCCAATTTGACAGCACAAGCCCAAAAGGATCAGGTCGTCTATCAGCAGGATGTGAGCGGCTTGTGCAGCGCTTTCACCAACTGCGACAACACCACCGGCAATGACACCGCCAGCTTCTTCAACTGCTACGCGACTGCGGTAAGTGGAAACTCCTGCAAGCACATCGTTTGCACATTAAACAGCAAATATTTAAATCACCAATGTGCAGGCTCAAGGCGATGTCTCGGTGATCTATGACATTGCCACCAATGCCGCCAACACGGCCAACACCCTTGCCGAGGCCATGAAGGCCAACCAAGACACCGAATACCAGTGCACCAATACCACCGAGAGCAACTATGTGCGCGACACGGCTGCCACATACGATCTGCTCGACAGTTGCCTGAAGAACGGTGTGCCCACCACTTCATCGGCAGCACCTTCCACCACCGTGGCACCCCTGAGCACCCAGGGTGTCCAGAGTACTACCCAAAGTCCTGCTACAACTGTTGCTAGCGTTGTTGCCAGCTCGCCTGCTGCTAGCTCAGCGGCTCCAGTTGTGATTGCCTCAACGGCAGCCACTGTCTAAATTCGGACTGCGTTCTGTTTGGCAGCCAATCAACAAATATATGAGCATTTATCAAAAAAAAAAGGAGAAAAAACAGTATATTTTGGTCTGGATTTCGTTTTCCTATGTTTATGTCAAGGTTATTGTTAGTTGACAGGACATTGCATTTGACAAGTGGTTCGATAGCGTTTTCTATTTCTCACACTGCCTTCAAACGCTTTATCTTTTTCTAAAGAAGTTTCTAAACCAGCAACTTATTCCAATTGTGTGCACATGTGGCAACGCCATGCGCATAAATTGGCAACTTCAGCTGACAAGCGACTAGAGGAATTGCTGAATTCAGTTAAAACTGTCAATTAGCTGTCAGTTGATAGTTCCTATTGTTGTAAAAATGTTCCTCAAACCTGTCACTGCAGGGTGGCAACACTGTTCTGTCACAAAGCTAGTGAAGTTATCTGTTTAATTTTGACAGGCACTCCAAAAAGTATATTGTTAGCATAGAACATTTGAGTTTGATTGAATCGCATGTCAAACTGGTTGTTAACTTGACTGCTGCATGCGAAAATATGGCTTTCGAAAAAAATTTTATTTTAATAAAGTTCATTCTCATAAATTAAGCATTTAATGTAATATTCATCAAAGTATTATTTAATATAGCTTTGATATTAACTATAAATTGAACTAATCTAATTCAATTGAAAATAGGACGCTTTTAGGAACACACCCACACGCGCTGACCTAACGTACGCTTTCAAAATCAAATAATCCCACTACTTTACTGCTGTTTACAGCTATTTTAATGTACACCTGTCAAAAAATCTTATCAGTGCCCCCCAAAGAAAAGAACCGAAATACCAACTGACCGTTGAAATTTTAATTATCGTAGAATCTATTCACTGTTGCTATTGACTACTTTTTTTTGGCTATAAAAAGCGCGGAATCGGTAGGCTTTCCACTCAGTTCGAGTTGTGTCTGCGAAACGTTCAACATGAGATTCATTGGAAGTGTCTGCCTGCTGGCCATGGCCATCTTTCTGCTAGCCAGCGTGAATGTAATGAGAATTGACTAGCCAAAAGCTGTCGCAGCCATGTTTAACTTTACCATTGAACAGGCTCTACCAGTCCAAGTGCAGTGCAATGATGGCAGCAATGGAACTCAAACCCAGACCTCGGCAGATGGCCAACAGACGCAGACACAAACTGGACCCGGCTGCCAAACACAAGTCTCGGGAGATGGACAGCAGAGCCAGAGCCAGAATCAAACAGGCAATGGCACCCATACCCAAACACAGTGCAGCGGCTCCGATTGTGCACCACTGCCGCCCCTCTTCACACTGAAGCCACTCGAATGGAACACCATGAAACCTCTCGAATGGAACACTTTTGCACCACTGCAGCCGTGGAATTAGATATAGACTTTGGCATGCCTTACATCTGTCTGAATTCCTGCCATTGTTGAATATACACAAAATATGTTTTAATTCTCAACTTACTTTGATCGACCTTGAGACAAGCTATATAACTGATTATAAAATCTAGCTATCATAGAGATAGTTAGTTACCAACATTTATTTAGCTCGCTTCAAGCTGTCATGAGTTGAGCCTTAAGCTGTCAGCAGATATAATTGTATTCAATTAATAAAATAAATCTAGTTTAAGGCTGTCAAGCCTTGAAACGCTTTGTCAAATAGTTTTAATTCAGTTTTTTTTTTTTTTGACAAATGGTATGCAAATCAAAATAAATGTATTTTTCTTATTAGTTGCCATGAACAATATTCGACAACTAGCTGAGCCTTATTTCTTTTAGATTACATAAAGCTTCCTTAAAGCAAAACATTTTGAAGCCATTTCTGATTCCGAGGTGACAATTGCTTGTTATGAAATTAAATTTATTGTATTCAACATTGCTTAAAGGTGTTGTAAACTTAATTTAATAAGAAAAGGCTAAAAATAGCTTTCCGTAATGGTTAGTTGAATTTGTGATAAGGGTTTCGGACTCAAAGGAAAGTGATGGGGAGTAGTTGGGCACGTGCTGAAGGCGTCTTGGACTCGACCTACTCGGATCGCAGTTAGTTTTTAAGATTTTATGATTCCAAAAAAATGCTATGGAAATACAAGATTTAAAGCTAGACCTTTGTGTAGCAGCAAAAGCTATAGCATTGTGATTTGGTTTATAGACGCATTTGAATGTTATATTTATAAGCAAATTTTGTCAAGTCAGCGATTGTTATTTTGGTTTTATTAGAAAATATCTTAACTTTCTATAAAATAATAATAATCTTATTTTTTTATGCGCTGCTTAAAATCTGACAATCTGCAGCTGAGATGCTGTCTACGACTTCTACTGCAGCTGTCCAATTGCAATTGTTTGCATAACAGAAGCTGCGCTACTTCCCCGTGCCCTGCCTTCTCCAAGAACTCTTCTAGAACTTCCTGCAGCAAAGTGGTGGAAAGTGTTGCATTAGGTCTTGCAGCAAGTTGCGCCTGCGGCTAATGCAATTTTTCGCTGCTGCGCATATAAAACTTTTTAATGCCCCCCAACTTTTGGCCAAGAAGCTGCGCCGTCTGCTCGACATCAAGAGATTTCGGGCAACTGCATCCGCTGATGTGCCATGTCAGCGTGTGCAAATGATTGTGCATAAGCGCTACAATAATCAAAGCCAGACATGGCTCGGATATAGAGAGGGAGACTGTTTGCTTGGGCTATGAGTAGGTGGGTGGAGGCAGTTCCAGTTCCGGAACTGAATCCAGTTAGCTGCCAGCCGTGTCGTGTCGAAGCCAGCTGGCTCTTAACTCATTTTCTGATTAAAATCTTGGCCATTAAGAGCGCGCGCGCGCTCAAATCGGACTAAACTTTTTTAATGGCACTGACAATAGTTGCGCCTGGTACCGTGCCGTGGCCTGTTCGCTGAGGTAGACAGGCCGCAAAGGGACTCGCGAAAATTGGCGCCTGCAATGAACGACATGGCGCTGAATTCGGGCTAAAATTAAATTAAAACTGTCGTGCAAAATGGGCGAGAAAAAACACAAGAAGCACCAGAAGCCAGAAGAAGTTGAAACTGTGAAAATATTTGCGCCCGCTGCTCCGCTGGCCGTGTTATTTTTTTTTTTTTTCATTTTAAAGGAGTCCGCAGCTCCAGCTGTCAGCGCTGCCAGAGCAACGATGTCAATTAGTTTTTCAAACGGGACGACCTGCCTGGCTGCCGCACACCACACCACACCGCGCCGCTCCGCACCCCATCGCTCCTTTTGGCTCAAGTCAAGTTGGCTTTAAGTTAATTGCATAAGATTTCACTTTGCACTTGCCGCTAGCCTTGGGGGGGGCAAGGGCGGATTGGCTGTTTCCTTCCGCCTGTCGCTTGTTGTCGCCATTTTTTAATCAAGTTAAAAGTTATTTTTAAATGAAGTGCGAACAATATTCAAGTGCACTACAAACATTGCGCCTCGCCCCTTTATCTATCTGAAATCCCATAAATATATCTGCATATTATTGCCCCATTTCTCTTGTGTTTGCCTTTTGCCTGGTCGAGCTAATTAAAACCACATTTTCTTGCGGTCGCGCGCTTTTGTTTCCGAGCCAAGACTTGACAAATGAATTGTAAATTAATAGAAATACTTATGAACAGCGTGACTTTTTATTGCGGCCCTATAAACGCGCAATGTGCTGTCTGTGACATCACAATGTGATTTATATAGAAAAACTTTGTACGAGCACACATCACGAGATATCATTTAGGCACGGTTTTTTATTCAATTTTGTTTTTTGTTTTTGCATATCACGATAAGATATCGTAACGTAAACGAACTAGTTAGCTGATAAATCAAGCTATTTGTGGACGTACTGAATAGGCAATACCCTTGATGTCAGAATATCGATAAATTAAAAATAAAATATAATGGATACTAGAAAAACTGTCAAATCGACAAACTATATATAAATGAAATTGATTTCTGAATTGGGAAGATACGGCATATATAAATCAAATTGATACTAGAATTGGGAAGACCCCTACTCGAAACTTATCGATTTACTAAAACTAAATTGATTAAAAACGAGTGAGAAGAACTCGATACACAGAGAGAAGAATTCCAATTTCTAAAAGAGCCTCAGCAAGTCTCATTGTCGACCCACTGCGCACAGCTTATTTGGAGACAATTTAAATTCCTCTATAAACTCAATTACTCATCTTTATTAAATATGAATTTTTTTTTATGTGAATGGAAGTGTCTAGTTACAGGCGCTCTAACCTTTCAACTGAATGCAAGCCGGTAAACAAAGTGCTCTTGTTGTGAGCACAGACATTAAATTGTTCTTGGCAAACTGTAGGGCTATGAAGGCCACTAGAAAAATCGAGCTGTTTGCTATGTTGAATTGAGTGAGTTAAGCTTTTAGCTGCAAGTAAACCTCCTTTTTCTACACTTAAAATAATAAATAACGCTTGAAGCTCTTAAATGATGCAACAGCTGTGCTCTCACATAGTTGTAATGCTGTCTCGCTAAAAAAATCCAAATAGTTCAATAAACTCTATACATAACTATGAAAGCAAAAGGTCATTTAATAATAAAAATAAATCAAATATAAGGTGCATATTAAAAGCGTTAAATATGTTTGTTCTTACAAAATATGTTCCATTTAAAGCTTTAATACACTGCGACACTTAAATAATAAACGCTTTGAGCTTTGAGATTGACATCAATGAAAAGAAATAAATCTTATGTACTTATCTCGTATATATATATATATATATATATATTAAAGATCTTTTTGCAAATTCGTTCAGAATAAAGCGAGCTTTAAGCTTTTGAGTTGCGAAAGAATTAAATAGATTTTGCTTGATTTAATAAGTATTTGTATTGCCTCTTGTTGATTGTATTTATTTTAATGAAATTAATTTAATTACAGGGTATCCAGAGGTGGGTCACTATGTGTTTGTTAAATACGTTTAGGGTGCGTGCTCGCCACGCTTGTTGAATTTCATTTGTCATTAGTTAGATCTCTTTATATTTTTAACAAATTATCTGTGCTGGCAAAGCAGACAAGCACAGCACAACCGCACACACACTCGCACACCCACACACTCGCTCACACAGGCACACATACATACTAACCAGTAATTGTGGGTGCTTTACACCTGCAAAGCCGTTGATTGATGATGTGAGCAATTGATAATGGGAGACCAGCCAAGCGGGTGGCGTGCGCGTGAGTGCTGGGCGGTGGCTACGCTAATTGGCGCCACAGTCGCTTAGGGGCGAGTTGGGGAGTGGGTCATGCTGGGGGGTTTGGGCTGCTTAAAAATGTAAAGCATGCTTTCGCCTCATTCTAGTTGTTTTGTTTTATTTTTTTTTTCCGTTTATTTCTGGCGTATTGTATTTACAGTAGAGTTTTTTGTCGCCTCTTTTTTTTTGCTGCCAGGGCTAATTGAGCGCTTAAAGCGGATTTCGACGCGCGTTTTACTTGTATTTTTTTTAAAGTTTTTCCTCTCAGGTTGTTCTTTTTTCAGCATGCTTTCTAATTAGAGCATCTAAAGTTAATTGCAATTTGAGGCACTTGCCGCGACAGTTACTTTGGCTTGTCACGTTTGTAACTACAGACGACTTCATTGACAGCATCAGCTGCCCAGCAGAAGTTGTAGTCGCGCGATACGCGGCTACGTGTTGGATTGAGATAAAGGGAAATACTATGTATGTGAAGAAATGTAATTCTCTCTGTCACTGTCTGTCTCTGTTGAGTTGTCTGTTGGTGCTTGGCTGGTAAAAATGTTCTAATTTTCTACTGCAGTGATTTGGCATGCAGAGTGGTTCTGCGAGACTACGACTTCTGTCTCTTCAGAGTCTCTCTGACTGGGACTCTGACTCGATTTCGTGTTTGCGGACTCTGGACTCGTTTCACTGATTTATGCGCATCAATAAGTTGCCCGAGTGCGATACTTAGGCGAAATGTGCCGCAATGAGACGTGGACAAGCAGTACGACCAGCACAGAGAGCTCAGCTGGAGTACGGAGCTGGGATGAGGAGGGCAAATACCAGTCAGCAGCAAGCACGTTCGCCTGCAGCAGATGCTTCTTCTGCTGCTGCTCCTCCTGCTGCTGCAGCTGCCCTGGCCAAAATAATGATTTGCATTTTGCATTTTCAGTTTTCCGATTTCGATGTGCGATTTGGATTTAGCTGCGGCTCTGCTATTTCTTTGCTTTCTTTGCCTGGCCGTTCCCAGCAGCATTGAAAGATATATGGGCTCAAGTCGTTGGCCGCATAAAAAATGGCAAAACTTTGGCGTCGCCGACTGTGGCCGAGCCAAAAGTTTTTTTAAAGCGGGCGCTAATGAGACGCCGCCATGCGCACGCCACAAATAAAAATATCTAGAGAAGTCAAAAAAAAAAAAAAAAAACACGGCTGCTAGATACCCCTTGTTCTGCATGTGTCTAGACTTTTTAATAAATACTTAACTCTGGATGCCTTAATAAACGTTGGGCGCCACATTCTATTGATTGCCTTTATTATTAATCTCTAATGTGAATTTATTGTACACTACGTATTTTAAGTAACAATATAATTTATCGCTGATACAATTCCGCCACTCAATAGAACAATGAAATAATGCTTTCGATTGAAAAATGTTTTCAGAGCCAATGGAAAATTGCCTGCCATGACGATTGTAGATTCATTTACAGGGTATACAAGGCATGGGCGAGTCAAATAATTCATTTCTGCGCTTTTGTTTGTCAGCCACGTTTTGTGCTTATTCCTTTTCTTCTCTTTTTTTTGGTTGGTCTTCTCTTTTTTTTTGTTTGCTGCTGCGCTTATCTTAATGGTTCAAAGGTTACGCACAGGCCTGAGGAGACAGCGAGCGCTTCCGACGCGTCGCCCGCTGAGCTAACGGTCAGCTTCAGTTACATTTACAGTTACAGCTAGACAGTTTCTGTTACAACTACTGTTACAGTTACAGCATCTGCATTCAAAATGGCCACACGCCCATTAAAAGCGCGAGCCCCAACTGTGCACAACGGTGGGTCCCAGCCAGGACGCTCCCAGTGCGCGGCCTTGCCGAGATTAGGCCTTCTTATAAATGAGCTTATGAATCGGTCTCGATAAGACCACAAAAAAAAAAAAAAATAGAAAATAAAGTCGTTGGGCACAATTAAGCAAAGAGCCCGCGCATAACTTGTCGCAACTTGTGAGCAACTCGAGTGGCACGTTATGAATTTTGTGGCATTACTCAATTCATCGGGGAATAGGTGCTTGAAATGTAATGTCAAATTGCATGCAACATGCAATTAAAATCGCACAGGCAACGCGCATTTAATTAATTTGAAAATTACGTTTCACATGTGTGGATGCTTAGTGCCGTACTAGGTTTTGGGCGTCTGCCTCCTATGCGGAGTGGGTTGAGTGGGCCGGTTGGCTGTTAGCGCTGCTTCAGGCTCAGCACTCAACTCATTTGCTAAATCAAGCATGCACCACTTAAATTTTCATTAGACTGCTTTCTTTGACTATGACTGCGTCTGCTACCCCACCCCGCGACTTGGTTTGGTTAGATGTTAGGTGTGGGAAGCTGCATGAAAAACCGCAAGCAGCGCACTTTGTCTTAATGATGTTAAGGTGAATTTAAACTTACGTGATTTTTACGTGCAGCTGCAGTAATTGCAGTAATGGAGCCAACTGAGAGAGAACACTGTACCAACAAGTGGGCCGGCTCGACTAGAAGATGTTCTGTAATAGACAAGAAGAAGATTGCTTAAAGATACACTGTAATTAGGTATATAGGCTGCGACGAAGCATACACTGTAAAATTGAATTCAATGTGCCAAAAAACCCTTAACTTATTTATGAACAACGCAAAAAATTTAAAAACTTTAGAATGCGAATACATAGTCTTTGGATTTTATCATTAAAACTTGCTTTTGAAATTTGTTTCTGTGCATTATTGAGAAATATTTTAATTATAAGAAATTAATATCTTCAGCACATTTTGTAATAATAAATATATATACATCAACTTAGATTTTTCTGGCTGACACATTCAATCTTATTACGCAAATTAAATATTTATAGGGCATAAAAAAGAAGACAGCAAACATGATATATGCTCACGTATATAGCAAATATGCTGGTCAAATCATTTTGCAATACGCATACTGAGCAGACGAGAGAGTGCGAGTGGGAGAGAGAGCGAGAGGAAGATTTAGCTGCAGCTGCAGAGTTGAAAGCCAACAACCTGCTTAGGGCCAAGAGATTCAACTTTGTATATATATATATCTGTGTGTGTGTGTGTGTGTGTGTGTGCTGGCACATGTGCGCACGTATTAGCCATAAATATATGAGACACATCGGGATGTGGCAGAGTAAAGGGAAGTTGGTGAGAGGTAGAGGGTACCTGCCTGGTTGCTTGGCATATTGGCGCTGCCAAAACGAAATCAAACCATAAATTTAACACGTTTCAACATGTGCAGCGCCTGGAGGTTGCCGCAGCTGAGTGCAGTCGCCAAGCGGCTAAATCGATGCCCTGAACTTTGCCCCTACGAGCGAGAAATGGCAGCTGTAGAAATGCAAAGGCATTACGTATACGCACTGTTAGCTGTCGCTGGCATTTAACACGATGAAAACGCAAGCAGCATGTCATATGCAAAGCCACGTGCCAGCTGATGATCCCGCCTCGCGTGCCAAATGAAAAACCATTTAATATTTCCAAGCAGCAGCAGCAGCTGCTGCTGTGGCTGTAGCAGTGGAATGTGGCAAAGGAATGTGGCAGCATATATCTGTCAAAAGCCGCCTACTAGTTTTTAACTTCCAATTAGAAGTGGGCGCGTGTCAGATTCTTACCACAACAAAATACTATTGGGAAGCCCGCACGCAACACGCTACGACAAAATAATTTGGAGACTTAGCTAACAGCTCAAACTTATGCCTCGCCTATTACTTTGCTTCTGATTTCGGTTATTTTTTAATAATAAAAGACACACAAATCAGTATGGCGCAAAGGGAAGAGACACCTTTAAGGCCGTTTAAAAATAAAATGATTTCCAAGTTATCTTTATATAACGAGTACTGTTACTATTGCCAAAGTCGAAAATCTTGAAATGTTGTAAGAACATTAAATATATAAAAAAAAGTTTTCGGAACCTAAAGCAAATTTTAAACAAATATGGTTTTAGCCAAATTTGAATTCCGGGATTCGGTTCAAAGCCTTGTTAATTATATATATATAATAGCGAAATCTGCAGCTGATAGACAAGAGGTTTCAAAAACATATTGTCATATTGAATATAGTATTTTTTGACATTATACATAAATCATAATATTCTTGTCTTCAAAATTGTCTTACACGATTGCAATTATTTATTATTATTTAATTTCTTTTGTTATACTTCTTAAATTTCTTAGTTCCGATTTTAGTTTTTAACGCGAGCACATCTTGTTAAATCGTGCCTGTTCGTTTCACGAAAGAGAACACGACTCGCGCCCCTGTCTACAACCCGCTCCTGTGTTCACACAATGCCAGCAACGACGTGCGTCTGGTTGGTATTTAGACAGCCGCAGGAGCAGCAGCAGGAGGCAGTCCAAAGTTGACCATATCGAATGAGTTTTGAACGGTTGCAGAATGGCGCAAGGATAGTGGGGTCCTTGTGCTAAGGGGAGGCTTGGGCTAACCGCAGCGGCAATTTCAGCGCTGTCAGCGGCCAAATGCTGTAGCCAGGACGCTGTCAAGGAAACGCAGCGCGCGCTGCCAGCGTTTCCTGTTGCTCGCGGCTAACGGCACAAGGCTTAGCACATGCGTATCTGTGTGTGCGCGTGTGTGAGTGTGTGTGTGTGTGGTGAGCCTTGACGCGCTTGAATTAAATAAACAGCAAAATCAGTACGGCGCAGTCCAAAAACGGGGAATGGCTGGCTTTATCGCCTGCTTCAAAGCGGATTTCCCACGCCCACACACAAGCGCACGTACACCCACTGACGCACACTCACAAGCACAGGCACACACACATGCAGAGCCCACGCTTAGCAAACCTTATCGAATTGCACACATTATCGTTAGATTTTAGTGGGCCGAGGAAATTAATTTCTTGAGTAAACCCGTGTTCAAGTGCTTAGAGCAGCTGCCCTGACATGTAATTTCGTGTATTTGGGGTGGCCGCTTTAGGGCGGCATATGCGCCGTTGGGCGTGGCTGATGAAACATTTGGCACCCATAATCATCACAAAAGCCAGCCAGAGGGAGTTAGCTGGGGGCGGGCTATTGAAAGCTGTTGCTATTATCGATTTGGCTGTCTTAAAAGCACGTAAGTACATGCGAGCGTTATTTGAAATTAAATTCTGTCTCCCCTCCTCCCTTCTTGGATGCTCGTTCATATTTCTTAGCTCGAATCGATCCACTTGGTGGCACTCAGCGCCAGGCAACAAAATCTCGTTAATATTGCAGAAATTCACATTGCACATAATTAAATTTGGTGCTGCTAATGGAACGTGCATCAGGATCAACAACAACAACAATAACCAGCTTAACAACAACAAGATGAACGGTTGCTTGGCATTTAAGGAAGATGTAATACCCTTTCACATATATCGCTTACATAATCTGCAATAAGCTGATTCTAATCAGACGGAGATTTTTTATAGTATGAAAGAAGGTTGCCATACTGAGTCTTAAGCTGGTTTATTGGAGGAAAACAAAAAACAGCCAAATTAGAATCTTAAATGCAAAATATTCAAAAAACATAAATACATAAGTTTTATTATGCTTTAAGGATGAAATGCATATGAAAGGTATGCATATAATTTTTTAAATAAAATAAATACGTTTGCGTAAAAGTTTATAATAAATAGTATTTATATGGCAACTATATGCCATAATTCTTTTGACTAACTCTAATATATTTACTAGCTAAAACAGGAAATAAAGCTATGCAATGTTTTTAGTTAAAAAACAGATGGATATATGTATAAATATATATTCATAAATATATTTTCTATATACCTAATGGACTCCGACTTGTTTTTCCCATATACCGTCAACCATTTGTAATACCTAATCTGATATACTCTGGCATTAGCCAAACTCTGTTGTAAATTGTGAAACTTAGCAGCTGGCTCAAGCTTGCGGCAATTAGTTTTCATTGACAGCCCTAAATCTGTGAAACGCCCTCTCACTCTGGGCCTCATTCTGTCTCTAGCTGTCTCTCTCTCTCGCTCAATTTCTCACTCTAGTTCTGGCTGTTGTGGACATCATAATATATGGTTTTGTGTGTGCGGCATTAGACACATAATTTCACATTGAGAATCAGTGGATGTCAATAAAATGCCAAATCGCATGACAACAAGCGGATTTCATGTTAGCCAAAAGACGCACACACACACACAGGCATACATCTTTACAAGCACAGCTTGTGCGGTGGGTAGAGGGAGGCGAGTTCTTCGTAAAAGCTGTTGTCGCTGTCAGCTGCTTAGTTACTTTAACCAAATATGGCCATTATTATTATTATGGCCAATGGGCTGTGCGTGTGTGTGTGTTGTTGTGGCTTACAACTTTTGCTTGGGCGAAAATCAAAATAAATGACGACGATCAACAACAATTGTCATTTGTTATCCTATTAGCCAGGCCAAGAAATTGCCGCAGCTCCATACATTAATGCAAACGCTTCTAATGGAAATCAACACATGCCCCAGCCCTCCTCCGGGCTAGTACTAGCCACTGGCTTGCCCCGCCCCTGTTTCCAAGTAATAAAGCAATAAATGCTTAGCAGCAACTCGACCACAAAATCAACTATTAAATCCGGTTAGCCCTTTGGGCCAACTGATAAATATGGCCCCATAAATATTGTACAAATTTATATAGATAGTCGACTTAGGGCCTAAAAATTATGTTCGCTAATGTGCGTAGTATCTATCCAAAGAAACGGCTAATGCACTTTGCTCAGAACAAAATCAATACCTAAAACCTTACTCAAAAACCAATTCCAAACGGAAATATCTTGAATAGAGTACAAATTCGATTCATAATAAAGAAGTTCTATAGTTAAGGATTTGCTTAAACTTTGATCCTTTTGCTACTGAACAAATTGACCATTTAAATTGAAATTAAATGCAATTCAATAATAGATGTTCTTTAAGCCGATATATATTTTCGATTAAAATGAATTTTAATTGGGAATACATTTTGCAGACAGTTTTGGCATACATTAAATGCCGTGTGAATTCGAGCTTCAAGTAGCGAACTTTTCTGACAGTGTAATAAAATGGCAGCAGCAGTGTGCTTGCGGCTTGCTTTCTTTCAATTATAATTTTAATGGACTGCCACCTGGGCAATATTGGCTGGCCGCAATAATGGTCAACTAGTGTAGAGTCCGATGAGTATTGGCCAATTGTAAATACTCATATCTAAGCCATTTGGTTGGGAGCATAAAAGCAAACGAAGCTCATTAAACAAACAAAAACACATATAAACGGAAATGCAAATATGCCAGCGGAAGTATTACAGCGTGCACAGGACAACAACAAGGAGGACAGCCACACAGGATATCCTTCGAGTGCGAAGCAGCCATAAAAATTGCATGCGACAATTGCTGGGAGTACAATGGGCAATTGTAAGCCCCATAGATAAGTATTACGAGTGTTATAAAGTGTGGTAATTGTGGCCTGATGACCACTTCAAGCAATACACTCACACAGTGAGATAGAGAGAGAGAGAGAGGGAGAGGGAGAGAGACAGAGCGTACATCG